TGGTCTTAATAGTTTATAACCACAAATAATTTCCATCAAGATCCTCAAAGGGCTTTTTAAATGTTAAAACTGATTGTTAAATAATCAAGACCAAGATAAAATAGAAAATTTTGTGCATAACTCTTAATGAACATATTTAATCACTTCATACACATATTTGTATATAAGATCCAGTTATGTGAAGGGAAATACTTTCAGGAGATATTGGGTTAGATAGAATGGACTTATAAACACGGAGAATAGTAGAGAATACTAAATTGCCCAGATAGTAAGATCTACCAGAATGTGGAGTTTTGTCTGTATCTTAAGTGCCTAGCACATTATCTGGCATGCTCTACTCCATTTCACTGACTGAATCCAATATGCCTCTATTATCCATTCAATGGCCTAATAAATAATAATAATAATAATAATCCATGCAATGGCATCTATTGCAATGGAGAGACAATGCAACTATTCAAAGTAGTCGCGCAACAAATTATATAAATCTTTTTAATATCTTTACTTATTACACTGAAATGAGCACTATATATACATAAACTATTCAGTGAAAAAAAAGAAAACACGAATATATATGACTGGTAGAAAAAAACTTAGCATGTCTAGTATGACTGTTAGTAATTGAGATGTTTTCCTCAAGTGTATGAACTGGAAGTTTACTAAGAATGTTTTTGAAGACAAATTGTTAATTGAGAGTCACAAAAGTAGAAAAGTCAATCTGTCAGTCATCCTATTACCTCAAATATTTCCTTGAACAACTCCAGTGCTAAAACAGAACAGTTTTCTGATCCGTCCAAAGGCTGGCTTAACCAGCGCAGTAAAGCCACAGTAGGTTCTAAACATTTAGTATGGCTTCCCAGAGTGGCGCTGCCAGGTGGAGACTGTTCAAACATCATCTGAGTGAGCACATGGCGCAGCTGAGTCACTGAACAGAAGGCAAGAAGTAATTCTAAAACCTGTGCAATATAAAGTCTTCATTAAACATCAATTTCATTGGACTTTAATATACAAAGCAAGTGTATGATGAAGCTGAAAATGCTACATATTTTAAAGAAAATACTCTAAAACAAAACTTAAAAGTTTTTTCTTTCAATATTATTTTTCAAATGTGTGAATAGATTCCAGAAGGTTACAAAATAAACTTATTAATGGTGCTTACTCCTGATAAGCAGGACTGTGAGAACCTCAGAGGAAAGGTCAACTTCAACTAATGTTAAACTCCTCCCACTCCTTCCATAGTACTTAAATTATTTTTAAACACAACCTGTTTTGCTTATACATGACCAAAAAAACCCTAAAAAATAAAATTAGAATTAAAAATACTTGTTATAATCCTAAAATTCAATAACTGCTATAAAAGATACTGTAGCATAGAATATAAAACCTTCAGGATGGTTATTTCCACACTGCATGCTGTTGGCATTACGATCCTTAGCTCTCCTACTGTACCCCATTTTTCCTCTACTTTATAAACTGGGCCTTATACCATAACATCCACCATCAACCTGTTTATTAGATGTTAAGATAAATTACACCTCATTTCACATACTACCAACCTATCACTAAAAAAAAATTTTTTTTCTTAAGATCTCCTTGCCTCTCTACTTATTTCCAACTTTTTAAAAGTCTGTTTCTTACAAATGATATATAATTGGGATTTGTGTTTTAATCAACTTGATAGTATCTGAATTTAAGAGAATCCAGTCCATTAGCATTTACTGTAACAAATGATAATCTTTAATAAATATAAACTGTAGTACAGTCATGTGTCACTTAGTGATGCATATGTTGCTTAATGCATCATTAATTTTGTTGTGTGAACATGAGTGTACTTATACAAACCTAGATGGTAGAGTCTACTACGTCCCTTTATTGCCCAGGGGCTACAAACCTGTACAGAATATTACTGTACTAAATACTGCAGGCAACTATAACACAATTGTAAGTACTTGTGTATCTAAACATAGAAAAATACAGTATAAAAGATTAAAAACGGTACACCCATATAGGATACTTGCAGGACTGGAAGTTGCTCTGGGTGAGTTAATGACTGAGTAGTGAGTGAATGTAAAGGCCTAGCACATTACTGTATATTGCTGTAGACTTCATAAAGACTGTATGCTTAAGTCACACAATTTTTTAAAATTTCTCTAATAAATTAACCTTAGCTTACCATAACTTTTTAACTTTATAAGCGTGTCCATTTATAAAGTTTTTGACTCTTTTGTAGTAAGAGAAACACACTGTACGGCTATATAAAAATACTTTATTTACATCTGTATTCTACCAGTTGTTTTTCTATTTTTAAAATGTTGGTTTTTTCTTTTAAAACTTTTTTTGTTAAAAACAAAGACACAAACACATACATCAGCCCAGGTCTACACAGGCCCAGGGTAATCAATACCACTTCCACCTCCACATATTGTCCCACTGGAAGGTCTTCAGGGGCAATAACACACAGGGAGTTGTCATCTCTAATAACAACAATACCTTCTTCGAGAATAGCTCCTGAAAGACCTGCCTGGTTGTTTTACAGTTAACTTTTTATAAGTAGAAGCACACTCTAAAATAACAAAGAATAAGTGGTAACACCCTTATCAAAATACTATGTACTGTACACAATCTTAGTATGTGCTATACTTTTATACAGCTGGCAGTTCAGTAGGTTTGTTTACACCAGCATCACCACAAAGACACGTAATGCATTGCACCACCATGTTAGAATGCCCATAATGTCATAGACAATAAGAAGTCTTTGTCTGTCATTGACTAAAACGTCATTACATAATGTATATTTATTTTTGAATAGGCAATACATTCACCTGGTTCAAAAGACAAACCTTGTAGGCAAATAATGTTACCAATTGTTTGTGTATCTTACCAGATGTCTGTTATAAACATACAAGCAGATAGCTTTCCATATACACTAGTTTTCTTTTAATGTACACATATAAAAGTAAAAAAACTAATTACTAGTGCAGAGTTAGATGACTTTCCCAAAATGAACATATTCCCCTGTTGATGGCATTTGGGTTATCATTGTTACCTATTAGGAGCAGTACTACATTTTGCACACATGTATATAATTCTTTGTGATAAATACCTGTAAGTGAGATTTCTGGGTCATAGTTTATACATATGCCCAGTATTAATAGATACCAGTTTTCATAATTGGTTGTACCATGAGTACTAAATGAGAGTTATGGTATGTTTGCTATTTTCCTTATTTTTCATTTTAATCAACTGGTGGGTGTCAGATGGTATCTTACTACCGTTTAAATCTGCATTTCCCTGAAGATTGATAAAGTGGTACAATCACTTCATGTTTATTGACCAATTCAACTTTTTTGCTCAAGTATCTGTTGGGCTCTGTGTTTTTTCTGATACATACATACAGCATAGAAAAATAATACATTTTGGATAAGAGTCCTTTGTTACATATATGCATTGTAGTTATCTATTCCCATTCTTTGACTTTTCATTCTTTTATTAGTGGTCTCTTCATGAATAGAAACTTAATTTTAATGTAGCCCAACTTACAGACTTTTCTACTGCATAGTTAGTGCTTTTGTTTCCCGTTTAAGAAAATCATTGTCTATCCCAAGGCCATGACGATACTCTGTTAGGTGATTCTTCTAAAACCTTCATTATTTTTACTTTTCACATTTAAATCTACAACCTGTCTTATACTGATTTTTGCATTTCGTATGAGGTAGGGGGTCAAGATTCAGTTTTTCCCCATATGTATATTCAATTGACCCAGTGTCATTTATTGAAATGACCATACTTTCAAGACTCTACTGTTGTCAATCAGGAGACCATATGCTATGAGTTTGGTTCTGCTCCATTCTGTCCCACTGGGCTATCATTATGACAAAATATTGCACTGTCTTTAGACTAATCCCCTAAGCACCTGACATTTTAAAAAATCAGTAAATAGCATCATTTAAAAACTTCATGTTCTATTTGTCGCGCAAATATAAATAAAACGTATATTTACTGATCTCGTATCCAGCCAATTTGTTAAATAGATTCACTTAATTTTTATAATGATTTCCACAGATTTTAGATTTTCTATACTCTCATGTCATCTGAATAGTGAGTTTTATTTCTTCCTTTCCAATCTCTGTACCTTTTTACTTTATCTTGCCTTATTGGGCTGGCTGGGACCACCAATACTAAGCTGAACATCACTGGTGATAATGGACATTCTTTTCTTATTCCTTATCTTGAGGAAAGCCTTCAATAATTTGCCACTTAAAAAGATGATGCAGTAGATTTTAGGTAATTACTCTATCAGGGAAAGGAAGTTACAGTTTATTCCTAGTGTGCTAATCTTTATCATGAATAGGTATTAAATTTTATCAAATGCTATTCCACCTTTAATGAGATAATATAATTTATCTGCCTTTTTGTTAATGTGGGAAATTATATTAATTTCTAAATGTTAAACCATCTGTGCATTCCTGGAATAAACCTCATTTGGTAATAAGACATGATCCTTTTTATGTCTCACTGATTTTGATTTGCTAATGTTTTGTTTAGAATTTTTGCAATATGTTCATGAAAGATATTGAGCTATAATTTTCATTTGTTGTAGTATCCTTGTCAGGTTTTGCTATCAAGGTTATACTGGCCTTATAATCAAAGACACTATATACTATTATATATTTAAAAAGACACTCAACTGTATCTTCCCCACCAAGATGTATTTTGCTTTCACTGCTCCCCACTTCTATCATAACGTGAATTATTTTTTACTTTAAAAAATTAAGTTTTAAGTTTTTATTTATTTTTATTTTTTACTTTTCCATTCTCTTTCCGATTTTGATACCCATAGAATGCTTCTACTCCCCTGTGCTACCTGACCTCCTAAATTCCCTGAGATTGTTTAATACCTTTAGATTCGATTATTAGATTTTTCCCTTGCTGTGTTTCCATTCCAATAATCCTTATTTAGCACTTATATTACAGATTCCTAGCCACTTTATTAAGATCCATTTAGACACTAACTAGAAATAGTTCTCATATTGCATGAGAGTCACTTCATTAAGATCCATTTAGATACTAATTAGAAATAGTTCTCATATTGCATATGAGAAAGGAATTTAGAAATTCTAGGGTTCAAAATAAAAAGAAAATATTGTTAAGTAACAAATTTTGTACTGTTTCAACCTTTCTACCATCTTTTAGATCATTGTTGCAAATGATTAGTTCAGTCATTCTAATTTTTTTCTTCTGTAAAAACCTGTAAGGTAAAGGCTGACCTGGAAAAGTCCTGCTTCACAACAGACACAAAAGTCACTTGTAGGAGGATTACAGATCTACACGTGAAAGTTAAAAAAAAACTAGGAAGCTTTTAGAGGAAAACAATGGAGTCCATCTTTGTGACTTTGGAATAGGCCAAGAGTTCCTAAATGGAACACAATAAATACTAAATTGATCTATGTTAAAATCAAGGCACCATTAGGTGAGTAAAAAGGCAACTCACAGAATGGAAGAAAATATTTGCATGTTATATACCCTTCAAAAGACTCCAAAATAACTCTTCCTACTTATAAGTAAAAGACAATGCATTAAACAAATGAGCAGGAGACATAAACAGGCACGTCAAAGAATATACAAATGACAAATGAATATATAAAATGATATTTTTACTAATAAAATTTTAATTTAAATTATAATGCAATACTACTGTATAGCCATTAGAATTGCTAAAATGAAAAAGTGAAAAATATCAACTGCTGGCAAGAATGCAGACTGACCAAATATTCATACACTGGTCCAACTGACTTTTTTTGAAAACTGTTTCATAGTGCCTACTGAACATATATATATCCTATGACATAGTGATTCCACTCCTAGATATAAAGCTAAGACAAGCATGTCCATAAGCTCACCAAAAGACATGCAGAAAACGGTAAATGCAGGTTTCTTCGTAACAGCTGATGTTTATAAATAAAAGAACAGCAATTGTGCTCCTTTCCTCCTGGGGGCCCAGTGTGCAATGGCTGCAAACAGCTGCCTCATTGGTAGTGTACACAGCCTGTTGCTTGTATGGGCTGGCCTAAGAAACCTTAGAGACAGCCCTTTCCAATATACATTCATGTCTCTGATCTCCTGCTGTCCCCCATCTAGGCCTCGGAGAGGTATTACGCAAGGTGTCTTTGGAAAGCCCCCAGGGCACAGTGGCCAGGGTTCACAGTGGCCAAGTCATCATGTCCATCCACACAAATCTGCAAGATAAGGAGCATGCAACTAAGGCCCCATGCAGGGCCAAGTTCAAGGTCCCTGGCTGCCCAAAGATCCACATCTCAAAGTGGGGCTTTACCAAATTTAATGTGGATAAATTTGAAGACATGGAGGCTGAGAAGTGACTCATCCCAGATGGCTGTGAGGTCAAATACATCCCAAAATGTGGCCCCCAGACAAGTGGTGAGCACTACATCCAAGAGTGCGTTCACTGTAATGTCCCCTTACTCATGCTCACCAATAAATCATACTCCCTGTCCAAAAAAAGAACCAATCTAGCAATCTACAACTATATGAAGCGAGTGAATCTCATCATATTATATTGAACCAAAGAAAGTCTAGACAGAAAATATATGTATTATATGCTTTTATTTACATAAAGTTCCAAAATATATATGTATATATACATATACACACATATATGTATATATACATACATATACACACATATATGTATATATACATACATATACACACATATATGTATATATACATACATATACACATATATATATACACACATACATATACACATATATGTATGCTGTTAGAAGTCAGTGTAGTGGTTAGAGCAGTTACCCTTGGTAAAGTAAGGAATAGGAAGGGGTAGGTACTGACTAAAAGGGACCACAAATACTGGTAACATTCTACATCCTGATCTAGACACTGGCAACATAATTATGTCCATATTGTAAAAATATAGAGAGCCTGTGCATTTGGATTTTTCTGCATTTTACAGTTTTTTTAAAAGTTTAAATGAAAAATCATGTTTTTACATACCTTTGAAGAAGAATCAGGATCCTTTCCATTAAGAAGACCTAATACTTGATTAAGACATGAAGAAAAGTGCTCATATCTAGGTTTAAAATAAAAATATACATCAAATGATAATTATAAAATTGATATATCAAAAGGGATTTATCTACAAGATAAACATAAAATTTATGTGTATTTTCTTTCATCTATTTATTTGGGCTTCTAATATAGAACACACTCTTGTAAAGTTTATACTTAAAACTTGTAATATATCTTACAATTATGATATACATAAATTGGCTCTGTCATTTATTAAAACAGTGATTCATGTGGCAATAAATAAATCATTAAAATTTTCAGTGCCTCAATTGCTGTATTTTTTTAAGACTGTGTTCACTTTATGTAAAAATTCAAAGGACAGAAGAATATCCTAATAAATTATACAGCTACCTTTTATAAAGCACCTAAAATTGCCAGGCATTAAATTAGTCTCTGCAAATAAAGAAGTAAGCGGCAGCAACTCATGTTACACAACTCCAAGAAGTACTGAGGTACCCCTAGCATTATACTCTATGTGACTGATGTATCCTAGATTTGGGAGATGGTGCCCTGACAGGGAGATCACAGTCTGAAGATGAAGGAGAAGGACAGAAAGAGATAATACAAGGTAATATAAAACACAGTGATATCATGGAGGAATGTATGGGATACTATGGAACAAAGAATATTGTCTCAGTATTAAACCCAGACTTGAGTCTTAAAAACAAAATATGAAGGAGAAAGCATTCTAGTCTTCCAGAGGGAATACTCTAGAGCAAATAGCACATGTATACATGAAAGGGCATTTCTAGTAAGCTGGAAGTTCTATTTATTGTCTGATATGATTAGACAAAAAAACAAAATGTATGAAGAAATAAGGTTGAGAGGTTGTTAGGAAACAGATTTTGAAGGGCTATACTGAAAATTTGGATATTCACCTTGAATGCAATGGTAGGTCAAAGATTTTAAAAGGGACATCTGGTTGAAGAAAAAGTTTTGAACATATTTATAAAGGGGAAGGATCAACTGAATAGGAGGCCCTGAAAAGAGAGGAGCAACAGCTTCAGAAAAGACAAAATGAGACAATCCAGAGTAACAGTACATATTTATGAGTGAAACAGGATGAAACTAAGAATTTGGTATAAACATAGGTAAGTTTGTTAAGTGGCAAGGATTTGGGGGAGCTCCAATCAAATGGGGCTTGATTTAGATATTTTTTTTTTTTCTGTAAAACAAAGATAACGTCATCTTCTGCATAAAAGGCAGCAAGAGAAAAATAAAAAATTTCAAAGACCAGTCGGGCCAGCAGCTCACGCCTGTAATCCCAGCACTTTGGGAGGCTGAAGCAGGTGGATTGCTTGAGGTCAGGAGTTCAAGACCAGCCTGGCCAACATGGTGAAACCCCTTCTCTAATAAAAATACAAAAATTAGGTGGGCATGGTGATGTGTGCCTGTAATCCCAGCTATGTGGGAGGCCGAGGCAAGAGAATCACTTGAACCCAGGAGGCGGAGGTTGCAGTGAGCCAGGATCACACCACTGCATTCCAGCCTGGGCAATAGAGTGAGACTCTGTCTCTAAATAAATAAATTTGAAGACCCATTGGAGGAAATGAGAAAGCTGACAAGTAAATATGAGAGGTCTGGTCCAGGTAAAGTTGTGTGATTTTCTCAAGCTCTAATTAGTAACTATGCAGTAAGTTTGACTTTGGAAGAGATTCAGGACAGAGTTATTGTTCAATGGCATACCAGATAAACAAGAGGAGTTGCCAGAGGTAATTCTGGGGTTCTATGATGGATAGAGTATAAAATAGGTAACAGAACTGAGAGATTTACAGAAGAAATGATTATGCAACCTCTTATTTATGCTAAACTGGATTATCTTTGAGTCTTCCAGAAGAGGTTTATTCAAAAGAATTTTTCTGTTTACTATGAAGATGCTGAATAAGCACTCTCTGGTGGCTAGAAGAGATATACATGGATATTGGGAAAGTCTCACAACAGATGAAGGGAAGGCAGGTCATGGGAAGGCACTCTGGAAGAAATAGTTCACCTATCTAGAGGTTCCTAAGAAAAGAAAAAGTGAAATGCTAAAGTGAATGCTTCTTGGTTTTGCAAAAATCTGCTGAGCCATATGAACAGTGGTCGAGTTTGCCCTAGTGCTTAGCTTTTATTAAAATAAAACTGTTAGATTCTATGTTTCTTAAACATCACGGACTGTGTCTTCACAGCCTGTTGCTGCTAAGTGCCTGATCATAGGTGGAGCTCAGTAAATGTTTTCTTGTATGTGAAACTCTTTGAAACAATTTCAATTATTTCCTAATTTAGTATGACAAAGCAGCATAGGCCCCAGCAAAATTTAACTTAGAATGCAAAAAGGCCACAAGCTCGTTGGAACACAATTACTACCTGATCTTAAAACATAAATGATCATATGAAATATACTGAGATAGAAAGGACATATGAACATGTGTTCCTATTTTACCTATGAAAAGAGGCACACACCAAAGGAAACGTTATCCATTTTTATACAAAAAATAAAGACACAAACATAATGACATCAATGTTCCAACACTATGTTTCATTTATTTATAATTTATGTAGAAATATTTTTATTGTCCCTATAATAAAAACATTCCTTCAAATAATCATAATGCTGCTTAAGTTTTAAAACTGGTTTTAAAATAAGTTAGCCAAGATGTCTATATTTTGGAGAATGGCACAACCCTATTGATCTAAAGCAAAGACTGAAATACACACATAGACAATGACTTTGTTATACTTTCCATTTCAGCATAGGAAAGAAAACAGAGTGCGAGCAAAGCACATCAAAACATTTTCGTCCGGTAGACTCCAAGTCAGTAGACTCCAAGTTTACTATATTTTAAGAAGACAATTTCGTTTATAACCAATACATCTTGATTAAAAAAAAAAAAAAGTTCTAAAATTGACTGAAGTGAGTCATACCTGGTGAGATAATCAGCAATTTTAGGATTCTTAAGGAGATCCATCAGTAGGTCAACTGAATACTTTCTAGTTAGAGTGCCATCACCGTTTATGAGAATATTAAATATTAGTTGAAAAGTCTGATGAATATTTCGAGCATGGAATAGCTTAAGGACAAATTAGAAAAGCATATTACATAAAAAATTAAGTTGACACCATCCTAAAAGGTAAAAATAAAAAAGTCTCAGTGACTTTTAAAATACAAGACTAGAAACTTCAGAATAAATTTGAAAAATCGTATTTACCTTTTCCCCCACCTCTTCATTTAATGTCAAACTGGATAATATTGAAAGCGCAAACACAACCACAGTTAAACTGCTATGGGCCAACAAGGTGATAAGAGTTCGATAAAAAGATTTCACATTACTCTGAGGAAAAAAAAGTTAAAAAATAAATTAGAATTATAAATTTTATATTTTGGTTTAAAAAGTATATCCTGCACAGAGTGGCCAAACTTTTTTAAACATCATTATCAACTCTATTAAATGATTCTTGCATTTAAAAGATAAATGTTTTACAGAAGACATTTAGATCAGAGATAAATTTAAATTCGAAAATTGTTATATACAGAGTACCCAGAGAAAAAAATAATTTGGTAAATGTGTGCAAATGAGTGGGAGATAAATATTTCCATAGTTTTGTCACCTTAGAATAAATAATTCAATGATGGTAAATCAGGGTGTCAATTCTAATAAAGGGATACATGCAGATTGGAAACAAAAGAGCTACCTTAAATACTGCAGGAAAAGTTGTTTAGCATTTGTGTTAACAAAAGAACTGTAATGAGGAACTCGTAATTGTGGTGAAAGCAAAAAAATATTCAGCAAATTTAAGAATTTGTTTTACGGCCGGGCGCGGTGGCTCAAGCCTGTAATCCCAGCACTTTGGGAGGCCGAGACGGGCGAATCACGAGGTCAGGAGATCAAGACCATCCTGGCTAACACGGTGAAACCCCGTCTCTACTAAAAAATACAAAAAA